GTGAACCACCCAGTGACCCCAGACTTCGATAAGGTATGAAGGCAGCCGGCCAGGTTTATTGCCAAACGAAACACAATCTCCAGCTCCCCAGATCAGATATCTACAGTTCTGCTAGTACAGGGGTTCTCAAACTGGGGGTTGGGACCCCTTGGGGGTTGAGGTTATTACATGGGGGGGGGTCACGAGCTGTCAGCCTTCACCCCAAACTCTGCTTTGCCTCCAGCATTTATAATAGTGTTAAATATATAAAAAAGTGTTTTTAATTTATAAAGGGGGTTGCACTCAGAGGTTTGCTATGTGAAAGGGGTCACCACTACAAAAATTTGAGAACCATGGCTAGTACATATGTGCTCTCTGACAATGGACCGGCTCAGTCAGTGGCAGGATTTACCACTGCCCCCTAGGCCAGACAAAGGCACCTCCTCAGGGGTGCATTCTTATACACAAGTACAAACAAGTTACACATCACTCCTGATGTATTGAGGTACAACCCCTCTATGTTTCAGAGTAGCAGCCATGTTAGTCTGTATCCGCAAAAAGAAGAACAGGAGTACTTGTGGCACCTTAGAGACTAACAAATTTATTAGAGCATAAGCTTTCGTGGACTACAGCCCACTTCTTCGGATGCATATAGAATGGAACATATATTGAGGAGATATATATACACACATACAGAGAGCATGACAGGGCACGAAACGAAACCTCTCTAGAGCAAGCTACAGAAAAGAGCAAGCTACAGAACGAAACCTCTCTAGAGCAAGCTACAGAAAAGAGCAATTATATAACACAGGAAGAAACCAACCACAGGAACAAAAGGATGCAGTTCTAGCTTAGGCTAAGGAAGAACCGTAGAGGGCTCTATAAGCCCTCTATGTGTTAGGGTGCCACCTCTCACCTGGTACATGTTGGTTTGGACAAAACAACACTATCCCTCATATCCTTTTGACCCTGTCTTTGGGATGGGTCAGCATGTTCCTTGTTATCTGTGTGGAATGTACTAGTATCAGTGGTTGTGGTGCTATCCTGGCACATGTTTATATCTCTAGTGTCCAGTACCTTTTAGGTATGTGTATTTTTGCAACATCAGCCCTTTCCTTGCCAGACTATGAGCAGGGCCTGCCTCTTGCTCACAGCTTAACTTTGCTTTATGTTAAAGTCTTGACCATTACTTTAGTTCAGGCCTTAGGCTTCATACTGGGCCTCTGATACAAGGGTTTATGTTTCAGGGCCTCCTCTTACTATATTATGCACCCCTCAGCTAGCACATAGTCATGCAGAAGGTGCAGCCTGGATGATTTTGGAGGCTGGGATGCCAGAAGGTTCCCCATCCCCGAGCAGTAGCTCTGCAACAAACTCACACTGTCCCCCTCCACAGTGGGACCGGGACCCTGTGAAGACAGTGGAGTTACCCCGTGTATAACCACTTCCACCCAAAGCCTGTTGAAGTAAGTGGGAGTCTTTTCATTCATTTGTCATGGGCTGCATATAGAGTCTAGAATGAGGTCCTCTGCTTCTAGGAGCACAGTGCATTCTAAAACTATGCTGCACTGGTTTACTATTGTAAACAGGAGGGTCTCACATGACCTACTGAATAATCAACACCCCCAGTCTGAAAATATCAGGTGGTATGGTTACAAGATGTGCACAGAATGCAGGCCTGCTTCCTGCATCGTTGCAAAACTGCAGTAAAGTGGAACAATTTTCAGTTTGTGT